TYTTTTTYTTTYTTTYYTTTTTTTTTTTTTTTTTTTGAGGTATCATATGCTTTAACTGGTCCCCTCTACTGTATATGCATCTTCCTCATTGTACTGCTCTCCTTTGGAGGATTCGAGGTGTGGTCTCTCTTTCTTTTTTGTCTCTTTTTTGGGTGGCACTTGAGTGCAGTGATTCTGGAAATGCGAAGCATTTTGGGCTTAAAAAAAAAATAAAAAAGCAAAAGGTTTGACGATTTCCACAAGGGAGTAGCCAGCTGTCATCACAATCAAATTCCATTGTGAGACAGAAAGATCCTGATCCTTTTTTTTTTCTTTTTTTCTTTTTTTTTTCACTGAATTGTTTCTGGCTAAGGCCAGGGGCGGTGTTACTCTACGCGAGTCGGGGAAGTAGATGGGAGGCGCAGCTACTGGCAAAATTATCGGTCTTTGTGTTAGCCATCCTATCCCTCCTCACTCCCACCCTACTCCCTGACCTCCGCCGATAAGGGATGCATCCCCTTAATTGTGCGAGGTAGCTATGCTTGCAAGGGTCCCATGTATAGGCTTTGGAGTACTGGTAGGTAGGCAGTGAAAGGTGAAATTGAGAGAAGAAAATAGCGTTGTTAAATTAAAAAAAAAAACTTTGTTGCAACTTGCAACTCTTGAAAAAAAAAGAAAAAAAAAGAAAAAGAAAAAAAAAAAGGAAAAAAAAGACACTGATTTCTTTCTTGATGTGTGATTGGCTTTTGTCATGTGGTGCAATTGACAGGGCCTACAATTGTGCTTTCATGGGATCCTTCAAAGGTTTGTGCACCTCATCAGAAAAAAAAAGAAAAAAAGAAAAAACAAGTTTGGAAAAAAACAGAAGAAAAGATCAGATGCCTGAGATCCAGTTTCCTCTGCCATCAAATGTGAACCCTGCAATCTTGCTGTTCGATTTGTTTCTCCTTTTTTTTTTTTTTTCCCTTTTTGTTGTTTTTTGGAAATATCCTCCGTTGTCTTGCCAGTGAAGCATTCCGATGTTGATTTTGATTTGTAAAAAAAAACTAGGCTACCAGAGTGGCCCGGGGTCACTTGCCCGGCCGGGCCAAAATAATAAAATAAAATAAAATAAAATGAAATATTTTTGAATTCTATTTTTTATTTTAAATTTGGTAAAGAATTTCGATGTGACCCTGAGGCAAAAGTTGTTCAGTTTATTTTTCTGCATAACATCGTTTTTTTTCAGAATTTTTGGATTTTTTTTTTTTTTTTTTTTTTTTTGCTGGGACCTTACCAGATCCTTGCACGGGCTGGCCACCCGGGACCCGGGCGGCCCGGCCGGTAGCCTAGAAAAAAAATAAAAAAAAGCAACGTATTCCGTTGTCCTCTTCCCTACTGCTTTTCCTTCCTTGCTGCCTCCACCAACCTTCCAAATCCTCTGTTTTTTTTTTGTTTTTTTTTTTCAAATCCTTCCTTCCTTTTTTTCTTTAAAAAAAAAAAAACAGGGTGACAGCCTCTAGATATCATCATTGAACTGACCGGCCCCAGGCAAAAATTCAGAATTATTTTATTCTTTTTCATCTGATAGTAGCTGGATTCAAACTCAGGTCTGTATTTCGTACTATTTCCACAGTTTAGGGTTGTACCGACTGAGCTAGGCCCGTTGGTGTTTTTTTTTTCTTTTTCAATAAAAATCCTATTTTCACTTTGGCAAAAAAATCGTTTTTTAAACTTCTTTTTGTGATTATTAATTTTTTCAAATTTTTTAGAGTGTTGGACTACTTCTTGGTTTGTTTGTGTTCTCTCTTTGCAGGAACCGTCATGATATTCTCCTGTGTGCGTTGTTCCAATTGTTTTAATCCTTCCTGTACTCTTATAAAGCAAATAGTGGGGTCTGGCGTGATGCTCCCATGCGAGACCGGCCTTGCAGTGTTGGGAAAGCTGCTGGGACAAGGAGCGGGCCCAACGAAACGTAGCCAAGAGTGCTGGTGTTTCCAATTGGCGCCGGCGCATCTTCGAATACGAGTACATATGGCCGCGATGACATGCAGGGTCGCGGGTTTTGTTTTCCAAGAGTAGATTTGTCGTTTTTCGCAGTAGATCTGTTGTTGTTGTTTTTTAGCAGATCCGTTGTTTTGTTTTCTTGTATCTTTGGACGTTGTAGTGGAAGCTTCATTTCAATTTTGGCCTTTTCCCAAGAGTAGGTTCGTCGTTGTTGTTTTTTTCCCAGTAGATGCATTGTTTTTTCCCCCCAGCAGATTTGTTGTTTTGTTTTAATGCATCTTTCTATGTTGTAGCGGAAGATTCATTTTCAATTTTGGCCCTGGTGAGTAGTGGAGATCGAGTCCTGATCTCGCAGTACTACTCTTAGGGCCGAACTACTCACCGGCAGTAGTAGTCTTAGGGCCCAACATCTCACCACAGGGAGTCGGTGTTTTCTCCAGTAGATTTTTATTTTTTCTTGGCTTTTTGTGGCGATGCTATGCCACAGCCAGTGGTAACCGGTCCCCCCCGCGCTTTGGGCATTGCTGCGGCGTCGTGCTGCCTGTTTGTGTCGTACGCAAAGTCTGTGCTAGGGCATCGCCACACCACTCTCGAAATGTGAAAAATGAGAGTGAACTTCCCCCTACAACATGGCCAGATGGGCCCGCCACATTTTTCAAATTTGGAGAGAGGTGTGGTGAGGTCCTTAGTCATATGTTAGAAATTAGAATACATGTACATAGCATGGCCGATGTGACGTCCCGTGTTCCCCCCCCCCCCCTGATTCCCCCGGTGTCCTGGAAAGCAACCGACGGCTGCTGCCGGCGCTGGCTGTGCACTTCTTTGCTGGGGGCTTGCGTCCGCTGCCCTCCTCATGCTCCCTGCCGCATGTGTGGCGGGCATCCGCTTGTTTTGTTTTTTTAATTTTATTTTAAAATTTTAATGGATTTCTTTCACTATTTTAGTGGATGTCTTGAATGACAACCACCTGTTAGATCTTTTTTTTTTTTTTTTCTTTCCCCTCCATTGCCACCACCAGTGGCGTCTTTCCTTCATGCCCTTCAGTCTCTCCCTGTCATCACACTTGATTCTCAACGTCTCACGTACTAATCGTGTCATCGTGCACCCTCTCAGCACTACTCCCTGGCTCCTTCCCTTGCTGTCACTTACTTGCCACTGCCTTCCGCCTTGACTTCCTTTGACTCTTCTATCTCTCTCTCCTCTTTCTCTCTCTCTCTCTCTCTCCCCTGGTCTATAAAATTGAAAAATATGTGGGGTCCCTTGAATCACTCCTTCCTTGGGTGGCCCAAGTTGATCGACGATGATGAACCGTTGGTATCCCCTCCCTCCCATTCCCCCCCCCCCCCCCATGCCGGCTCTTTCCCTTCTCCTCTATGATGATGTGCTGCTTCTGCTTGAAACATGTCACCTGTATTGGGGGAGGGGGAGGGGGGAGGGCGAGGGGGGAAGAGTGGTGGGGTAGCAAACCTTGTGGGTGGAAGTTGTGATTCAAGAAAATAAGAACTGTTACGTGGATTTGCATTTGTCTATTTATAGCATGTGTGTTTGTAACATTGTGTACCCTTGTGGTGTTTTTGTGTGGCCGTTTTGTCGGGGTGGGGTGGGGTGGGGTGCGGGGGCGCATGGGTGTGGACTTGTTTTTTTTTTTTGTTTTTTTTTGTTGCTGTGGGGCTGGATGTGTCTGTGGCTCAGTTGGTTACCGGATAAGTCCCAACTTGGATTTGAGGTGCCATGGATTGGTTGGGTCCCTCTGTTCTGGCTGATGACAGCTCCCCTGTCAGCGGGAATCGCCGTCGTCTGGGCGGTCTATCGGCAATCGTCACTTGCTTGGGTTGGCCAAGACATCTTGGTAGAGTTCCAGCACCTACCTTACTCCATTGTTTCCTAATAAGGACATACCCATGCTAAGATTATTTTGAAAGATTTTTTGGATTGGGATGCATGTACCTGACTGCAATAACGGCCAGGTTCAGTAGAAAAAGTTGTACAGTAGCTTGAGAACACTGCCCTTTGCAAATCATTGTGCCACTCTTTTGGAAATGGATCTCTGTGGTCGACTTCACCGTCTCTTTTCCTTACGTGATTCTGTGGTTAATGCTGTTTTCTAAAACTCTTTTTTTTTTGTTTTCCTTTTTTCAAGTTTTTGTTTTGCATTTAATATAAATTACGTTCAAGAGTTCCCTACAGGTTTTAAGTTTTAACGACGCCTCCGTCCAACCGTTCTGTCACTGGTTATTTTTTAATGTATGTTGTGTTCGGCCTCCTGACAAGTCAATCAAATGCTGATGGAACAGTTTGTCACGGCCCCTCGTTTGTTGTCCTCTGCCTACGGTTTTCTGGGCAGCCCCATATGGTCTATAGATACAGTTTATATCAGTATATATATAGACTGACTGTATATAGACTATATGTTGTCCTCTGCCTACGGTTTTCCGGGCTGCCCCATATAGTCTAGATATAGTCTATATCAGTCTATATATAGACTGACTGTATATAGACTATATGTAATGCGTATACATTGCCATATATATTACTAACTTAAGGAGTAGTCAATGCTGGCAGGAGATCCTTTTCAATGGACCGACATAATGGGTGGAAATGTCCGAGAGCGTATTGACTCAATGATGTTTGCTGTTACGATCCTGGTCATTTCCGACGTGCAAATTCACACGGAAAGACAATGCCAGCCAAATGCGAAAGAAAAATGAAAGCACTTGCAAAGAGATAGAGACCAAAGAAGAAGAAGAAGAAGAGGAGGAAGAAGAAGATGTACACCAGCAAGACCAATGACAAATCCCCCCTTCCTCTCTCCACTTTCCTCCTCCTCCTCCTTGTCTCCGCCAATCTTGTTCTTCGCCCAAATAATAATAATAATAAAATAATAATAATAAAATAATAATAATAATAATAATAATAATAATAATAATAATAATAATATAATAGTAATAATAATAATAATAACAATGAGTAGTTGAACCAGAATCAATATCCGAAGTTCTTTCTTACTGCCAGCACAACAAAAGGTCCACCATAACCGTGGCCTCCCTCTTCTCCTTCCTTACGCAGGGCTAAGCTACGGCGGACTACTGAAGGCCCTGCCCTCCTGTGGCAAAGCAGCTATGGCCGCTGCTCTTCAGGCCGCCAACGCTTATCGCTGGCTGACACTCACCAGAATAGAAAGGAGGCGGGGCTTGCAAGAAGGTCTTGTCCTTAAAAAAAAAAGGAAAAAAGGTAAAAAAAACCGACGTCTAATTTCTAGTTTCTAATCTCTGTCGTGAAAAAAAAAACGACGTCTAATTTCTAGTTTCTAATCTCTGTCGTGAAAAAAAAAAAACGACGTCTAATTTCTAGTTTCTAATCTCTGTCGTCTATCACCTATACAAGCCAGCTTACATATGCAAGGAAAATGAGCAGTAGCGAAATGACAGAAATCCAGAATGCAAAAGCACATTGAAAGCCAGAAAGTCCAAAGCTGTCCAGAAAGCAGAAATGCACTGATATATGCCACCAACGGAGAACCGAAGGCATTGAAACCGAATGTCAATGAGAGCATAGTAGCATACTCTCGCCACCACCAACATATGTATCCAGAGTCCTTCCTCCTATCGGGCGCTCAGCGCCCAGACTANAGCATACTCTCGCCACCACCAACATATGTATCCAGAGTCCTTCCTCCTATCGGGCGCTCAGCGCCCAGACTACTACTACACAGCTACTAGCAGCCTACCTACGGAATGACAATGCATCCCGTTGACGTCAGCAGCAACAACCAAAGTTCATGACGGTGTCGACCTTGTAGACCATCGCCAAGACCAGGTATGTGCCCTCACATCATGAACCTCATCTCTCGCTCACTCACCCTCGACTTCTACTCCCATGTATTCCTTCCCATACTCGAAGACCACCACCACCTCCACTGGATATGTCCAAGCCGAGCCCCAGCTACGTGGGGCTGGCAATGGCGGTGCCCTCAGCAGCGCCCTGCCTTCTCGCACGACCGCACGCCCACGCTTGCCCACTGCATTAGCGCAGCAGGCCGCGAGCGCTAGCTACAGCAGCGCTGCCGCATCTGCCTGCAAGTGCCCGACTGCCGAACTCGGAGCCCGTCCCTTTCCTATATGGAAATTGGCGGGCAAATTCCGCTTGCTTCCCACGTGAGGACGAGTTTCGAGTAGCTTCAGTCTCGGCCAAAGTGTCTGCGCCCAGGCCCGTTCAGACAGTGGCCTGGGACCGAATTGGTCAGGCATGCCCAACCGCGCAGGCATAGACGTGTGGTGCTCCCTGCTTCGACCAGGTTGCTGGAAGAGCCTGGAAGGCTCACAAATATTTTGGATTCTCATGAGCAACACGGATGTAACCAACTGGCACGTGGCAACTGCCTGGCGCCCACCAAGGTTTGCAAAAATTGATGGACTCAGGGCACATTGAGATTCAGGGGGGTCGCCTTCGCTTAGGGCGGGCACACGCCTGCTGCAGGGGCTTATGTCGAGGGGTAAACCCTGATAAATATAAATACAAGGGGTTAATCATTAATGACATCAAGACTGTCTGCTGCCGAGCTATCAGCCCATGGGAAGCTTGCAATAGACTGACGATATCACACACACGATCTCGTCATACATGCGTACACGTAGATCGTAGCCAGGTACAAGCCCAGCGGAAAACAACAGGAGTATTATTAAATACATGCTCAACAAACAGTCACAGTGGTGGTGAGTTTCCCAGTGATAGCTCATCTGCAAGCATTGCCCACCCAATCGTCTCCCGAAACTCGACCGTCTGACCGCTTTCCACAAACGAAAGGCCGATCGGGCGTCATCCGCCCTACCCGCCTACAACTCTGTTGTCAAGGAGGATGAGCACTGGCTCCATCCCACTAGCTATATACCACTTCACACCTAAAACGAGCGCCAAGAGCACTTCTGACAGCCTCAAACAAAAAAAAAAACGACAAGGAAAATCACGGCAGGCACAGTAGCTCGTTCGTCAACTTGCAGATCTCATCCTGCCCTTTCGTGAAGGCTTCCACAGACCTTGGAGAAAAAACGGTCCGGAAACCCCTTCGCGCCTAGGCTACCAGCCGGGCCGCCAGCCCGTGCAAGGACAGGGAAGGTCCCAGCAAAAAAAAAAAGAAAAAACAAAATTCCAAAAAATCCGAAAAAAAAACTATGTTATCGAGAAAAATAAACCGAACAACTTTTGCCTCAGCATCGCATCGAAATTCTTCACCAAAAAAAAAAAAAAAAAAAAAAAAAAAACACAACAACAACATGTTATGCAGAAACATAAACTGAACAACTTTTGCCTCAGGGTCACATCGAAATTCGTCACCAAATTTAGAACTAGGCTGTTTTTCAGGGCGCCCTGGCACCCAACTTCTGCCCGGGTACACGCCCGGGTGCCTGGCCTGGCATGACCCCCAGGCAGGGTTCCGGGCAGCCCCAGCGCAAAATAAAATAAAATGAAATAAAAAATAAATCCGGGAAAAAAAATGTTGCGTAGAATTGAAGTACACACCACTTTTGGCTGAGGGTCACATTATAATTCCTTACAGAATCGGAGATAAAAAATAAAATAACAGAATCAAACAAAGGCACCCCCCTTTAGACCCCTTTAGCCCTTTTAAAACCAATTTATACCCCCCCTCTCCTCCTCCTTGACAGCCAACTTGCAAAAATCGAAATGTGCCGGGATTTGGGGTCCTCTGGGAGCGCAGAAAACCAAAAAAGAAAAAACTAAATCTTTTTTTGCACGCCCGGGTACCCTGGGGCGAGGTCCCACTAACAACGCGATAGGATAGAAATGAGGTTGTGGCAGTTGAGTGACCCAAATCCTGCCGTGCAGTACTCGTGATCCCACGGTCGGTATTTTACATGCATTACCCGAAAAAGTAAGGAGATCTTTGTTCCCCTCCTCCTCTCCTTAACACTGGGCATGCCAGTGCAAAGAAAGCTTCCCGCCATAATCTTTTCAATCGGTTGGGGGTGTGGCCAACCCCAAAAGAGGGTGGGGTCGGCCTTAGGCCCACTGGATAGAAGATTTTCAGTACTTTACTTGCTGTTGTGCAATTATCTCATTGGGTGGAGCCCTCCTTCAATCACGGAGTGTATGGAGGGTGTCGTGATCACTGCTGACAGAAGTCAAGTTTATTCCAGAAAATGTGGCGGTTACTTTGTCCACTGTTGTTGCAACCACCACCATCAGATCATTTGTGATCTGATGGCTGGGAAGCACTCTGCCGTGATTTCCGGTGGGAGGGCTCTGTTTCTTTTTTTTCTTTTGCCTTTCTCCTGTTTTTTCAGCCGAGAAATTCGTAATGAACCTGTCAGCCCCCTGCCACTCAGTGTCACACTGGATCAGCCACACTCCTATCTGACTGCAAATGGGACCTCGCCCCTGGGCGTCATGCCCGATGAGAGTCTTCCTAGATTAAAATAAAAAATAAAAAATTAATATTATTAATATTATTATTATATTATTATTATTATTTTTAACTTTTTTTGGCCCGGCCGGGCAAGTGACCCCGGGCCACTCTGGTAGCCTAGCTTCGCGTGGTATTCCTGTCTCAAATAAAGCACCTGAACCGGATTGCGGTCAGATCCGTCGAGTTGTGAACCAAACGATGAAGGCTTCCCATTATCGTGGCAACCTTCTGTTTCTGACTTGGCCAGGACTTGAAATCCTGGCCCGTTCTGATCACCAGGGGTCTTCTTGACCCAATGGTCTTCTCATTTTTCACCATCTGCAAGGACCCCACAAATCTGCAAGGGCTACCAGATCCTTTTTTTTCCCTTTTTCTTTAATCTTTTTTTTTTTTTTTTTTTCTTTTACCTACCAAAAAAAAAGGGACTGGCAAGTTTTACAAGGTTCAAGTCTCCCGCAGGGCTGATTAGCATTGCATTATCTGGAGGCGGGAATTTGGGGAAGCAAAAGGTACATTTAGGTGCGAAGCTGTTGGTAGTCTCGTAGTGTAAAATAGCAGGCAATTTTTAATCCAAGTGGGGGATGAACCTGGTACCATCTTCATACATTAGGTAATGCGGGAGTACATCTTGGAGATTATGTCGAAGCCAGAGTCTTCTCGCCTGGTAGGCGGTTTGCACTTAGAGGCATTTTTCCACGTGTAGATTCTGGGAGGCGGATCGTGGGACAGCCCATCCCGGTGGTAATGAGTTGAAGTGTCCTATGGTCTGCTAGGTGGGCCCGGATAGTCCCTCCTGGGTCTGCCGAGCCGAGTCGAAGTATGATAAGTTGTAAGTTAGAATGGGTGGTTTCTCTGTTCAGTAGAATATATGGTAGAGTTGGGGTCACAGTCCCAGTGCCAAGCAGCGCTGGGTCTCAAGGCCCGGTGTCAATGGGCCCAGCAGAGTTCAGAACCGTTTGTAGTTACCCCTTTGTCTGGCTGTGGCCGTCTCAGACTTGGCGTGTACACGATTGAAAATATGGGGCAGGTTCTTCTTCAAATTTTTATGGCCCTTTTTGTGATGCCTATTTTTTCCGCACCTCGAGTAGCTGGAGACAGTCGACTGCAGCCTTGCTTGCGAGGTAGGGCGTCGAGGGTGCCTATTTTCATGATCACTGTTGAGTAATTGGTCACACTGAACTATCCCTGAAAGTGGAGAGAAGCTTCCAACCGATCGTGTCAAAATCGAGACGAGCCGGCAGTGCTGTGGTTTGCAGAATTGGAGGGTGAGCGTTCTGCGAGTGTGTCTTGGTGTTGAAGAAGGTAACGGCTATCGCGTTGGCACATGTAGAAGATCGATAGCACTGGATGGGCGATCTACTCGAGGAGGCGATCACGGAAAGCGGGTTTCGGCGCGGAGGAATGGGCCAGTAATCTTATCTCATGTTATGTAAGTAGATAGAGAACGTCAGGGGGATGACAAGGTCGAGGTTGTGCTGACAGTTAGAGCATCCAAGAGGCGTACTCAAGTGAAGAGGAGAGCTGTCTCCAAGACACCCCAAGTAGTATAGTCGCAAGCGTAGTCGTGAGTAGTGTAGTCGCAAGCGTAGTCGTGAGTAGTATAGTCGCAAGCGTAGTCGTGAGTAGTATAGTTGCAAGCGTAGTCATGAGTAGTATAGTTGCAAGTGTAGTCGTGAGTAGTATATTCTCAAGTGTAGTCGTGAGTAGTATAGTCGCAAGCGTAGTCGTGAGTATAAGCGTAGTCGTGAGTAGTATAGTCGCAAGCGGCGTAGTCGTGAGTAGTATAGCCGCAAGCGGTGTAGTCGTGAGTAGTATAGTTGCAAGCGTAGTCATGAGTAGTATAGTCGTAAGCGTAGTCGTGTAAGTGAAGCCTGAATACGCAGTCGATTGACGGATCTAGGAATGGAACAAAAACATGGGTCTGTGTCTGTAACTCAAGCTCAAGCTGAGTGGCCAAGTGTCAGAGTGTCTGGCGTGTACAGTGAACGGCAGGGTGAAGGTCTGTGAAGCACCGGGAGTGTGCAGCGTAGGTGGTTCTGCTGTGCCGGAGCTGCGCAATTGCCTGGCAGCATACAACACATTGCTTGTTGGATAGCTGCCGGTGTAACTGTGGAGACGGGTGCCAACTGCTGCTTCCTATATGTGGTCGATGTTGGACGACGTGGGATCAACACTTTCTGTGTCTGTGAACTTTTTGCCTGGGATGAAAAGTGTAAAGAAGCTGTGCGTGATCCGTTCATATAGTGGAAATTCTTTTTTCTGGGATGAGAAGTGTAACAAAGCCGTGCATGATCCGTTCATATAGCAGATGAATTGGAGGTGCTTTCCTGAGGCAGGTGCAGGATTGGAATGACTACATACATAGCAAGCTGAGCGAGTCGGTTGACGGGTGAGCTTGAGCTTTGCAGAGAGTTAACCGTCCAGACCGGACTGACTAGAGAGTAATGTTTTATGAACCTGGTCAATTCTCAATGCAAAGATGTCAGAAAAAGGCAATGCCAGTGCCACTCAATTGCAACTCAAATATAAGAGTGAGTTGCAAGAAGAAGAAGGTAAGGGAAGACGAGGAATGAAATATAGAAGCAGCAGCAGCAGCAGCAGCAGCAGAAGAAGAAGAAGAAGTAGCTGGAAGCGATGTCACTTCTCTCTCATCTCGCCTCTATCTCTGTCCCTCATCATCTCCATCAACGTTTCATTATTAATAATAAGCAATAACAACGAGTGACGAAGCCAGAATCCAATGTCTACGAATCTACTTACTGCCGGCATTTCAGAGGGAAGACCACTTGACTGTCCTCCACCTGCTACAAACTTCCGGATAACGATTAGCTACGGCGGAGCATCGAAGGCGTTCTTGTCTGTTCAAAGGACACAGCGCACAAATGCTCTCATGCCCTTCCCCTCTTCGCTACTGCTATGCTCACACTCACGGATGAAGTACACGTCCCCACTTCAACCCGCTTCGGAGCCTCCCGGTGCAGCGCCAACCAAGATGATGAAGATGCACCAAAAAGAAAAAAGAAAAAAAAAAGATAATGAAGTTGCAGCAGGTCCACCATAGCCAAGGTAAGTGTCCTCCTTCACTCTCCTCCTCCCCGCCTTCTTCCTCCTCCTTCCTCCCTCTTCTTTCTTCCTCCTTGTAGCTGCTGCTCGGGTCCGCTTCAGCAAAGCTCCCGGTCCAACAGCCAGTCTTCTGCCGACAGAAGAGAAGAGGAGCAACTCGGCTCCTTTGGACATGCTTTGGCGGCTGGCCCTTTTGTCTGGTGACTTCCAGCCTACCGCGGTTCCTGCGCAGTTTGGTGGGAAAGTTTTGCCGTGAAAGTCCCTGCAGACTGCTACCCTACCTACAGGACTCGAACCTCAACTCTTTTCTGGACTGTATACGGCTAGTACCTTCACGATTTCTTCCCTAGCGTCTTCCCCCGAACGCAACGCACCCTCAATTTGGCTGCTCCGGACTGGAAAAAATCGGTTGTATTCATTCGGGGTGCGATGTGTTTGGGGGAAGACGGTAGGCCTACCGGGACTCACGAAATACCTTGGCCTACGTACCCAAAGGTCTCCTTTTGTCTTTTTCCGCCTACCAACCTGGTTCTGCCTACTCTCGGCCACATTCGGCATACCTACCCCTCACTTATTTGTACTCGAGCAGCCCAGTACCGGCTGCACAGGCCACCATACGGCCACCGGGTTCAGTGCAAGGCCTGGGAGAGTCAAACCAACGTACAGGCCGCCACATCCACTCGCACACACATTCAGTACTCCGACAAGCGCACAGCACACAGACATCAGCAACCGCAACACCAGGAACACAGACTCGGGCAGCAGAAATCTCAGCAAACACACAGAACAGCTGCAAAACTCAGAAAAACACTGAAATCTCAGTCTGCAATTTTACAGGTTATTAACTTCTTTTGTTTTTTTTTTTGTTTTTTTTGGTATGTCCTATGTCCTTGAGATATCATCTCTCGTAGACCTGACCGGCCCCCAGGTACTTCAGAATGATTTTGCTCCTGGCTATCTGCTTCCATCTGGATTTGCAATTTTGCATTCAGGAGTCAGGGGGGTGTATTTCAGTTTTCAAGTTTCAACAATTCATGGGTGTACCAATTTGAGGTAGGTTATGAACTTGATAGTAGTTGGTACCCATGTGAACTGGATAACTTGACCAGGTTCAGCCACTCCTGCACGCACTGCTTTACAATTTTTGTTGTCTATTTATGATTTAATATTTATTAATAGTGGTGTATCTAGTCTTAGTGTTTACCAAGATTACTCATTAATAATTTACTTATTTACTTGTTTATTTATTTGTTTTTTCATTGAATGCTGTTGAGCGCGTATATCTAAGTGACGGTAGCTACTGAAGGGAACACAGTATAGTCTGTGTGGTCTTCTGGCTGCCAAATTGTGCCATTGCACAGCAGGCATGGTGGGTACGCTTAGTGGACGAGTGACACCAGGACGAAGTGCTCTTCACGGCGATTCGCAGAAGATGTCCACAGCTGCTTCTTTTTTTTCTTTTTTTTTTCTGAACACCAGAACTGCTGTTTTAACTTTTAATCATGTCCATCAATGCTTGTCGATGTTTTGCTTTGCGGACTGTGTGTGCACTGTGCAGGGAATAAGTCTGATGCTCTCTGTTCTGCAGACGATTCGTTTGCCGAATATCAAGGTATGGTAATCTAGGAACTGGACCTTCCCTCACTTTTCTTTTTCATTTTTTTTCATTTTTTTCATTTTGATGTATTTATTTATTTATTTTCGAGGAAGATTGTCACGCCCGGCTGGTCCTACCCAGCTGGGCACGCGGGCATGATGGGCGTGCCAAAAATCCAGGCTCATTTCGTTTTTTGAGACTTGGCTGCCAAGGAGTGGGAAGGGGGGTATAAATTGGTTTTAAAGGGGCTAAAGGGGTTTTAAAGGGGGGAGTGTCTGGAAGTGCCGTGCCCACCCTAAGTGAAGGGGGGCCTGCAAATATGTGCCAATGCCTGTTTATAGGGCTATGAGACCAGGCTGAGGGGCCCAAGCAGAGCCTGTTGTAACCACCATGTGGGCATGGATCTTCGACGAGGCCTTGTTACGATTTGGCTTCCCGGCATGCCCTTGTAGGGCCCTATCAGCAAGCATGAGCCCGCCCTAAGTGAAGGTGGGCCCGTGAATTTCAATATAGCCTGAGTTCGTCAATTTTGGCAGAGTTTGGTGGGCACCAGACGGTTTCCGCCAGTTGGTTACATCCTCCATACTCGTGAGAATCAGAAACAATTCACTAGCCTTCTGGGCTCTTCCAGCAGCACAGTCGAAGCAGGGAGAACCTCATGTTTACTCCTGGGTGGTTCGGCATGCCTAACCAATTCGGTCCGAGGCCACTGTCTGAATGGGCCTGGGCGCAGACACTTTGGCCCGATCAGAAGCTACTGGAAACACACGAGGCCCAGCCAGTCAGCAAACTGGGCGAGCACTTTCCATAAAGGAAAGAGCTCGCCACTGGTGGGCTCATTCGGGCACTAGGCAGTGCATTCGGCAGCGCTGCTTGAGCGTGCGCTGGCAGGCTGTGTGCTGTGCACTAGCGCAAGCTGCCAGGCTGTGTGCGCGGGTGCTGGAAGAAGGCAGGGTGCTGCTGAGGGCAGCGCCATAGCCAGCCCTACATGGCCAGGGTTGGCTTGGACAGCCAGTGGAGGTGGTGTTGGTCTTTGCGCATAGGGGAGGAAGACAAGGATAGGGAGAGAGTGAAAGAGATGAGGATGATGATGTGAGGGCGCATACCTGGTATTGGCGATGGTCTGCATTGGTCGACATCTTCAAGTACTTCGGTGGCTGCTGACGTCAACAGTTGCATTGTCAATTCGTAGGCAGGAAGTAGCTGTGTAGGGAGAAGCCTGGGCGCCGACCGCCAAGTAGGGAGAGAGGGCCTGGATATGTATGTTGGTGGGGACGAGAGTAAAGCTCTCATTGACATTCGGTTTCAGTGTTTCGATTCTTCATTGGTGTAATATTGGTGCAATGCTGCTTATCTGGACACTGTGGGACTTTCTTGCTTTCAATGCGATCGTGCTATCTGGATTCTGTCATCTCGCTATCTCTCATTTTCCTTGCATCAGATTCTGTGAGGAATTCTCATGTGACCCTCAGCCAAAAGTGGTGTTTTCTATTGCAATTCTACACAACATATTTTTTTTCCGGATTTTTTAAATTTCTGTTTTTTTTTTTTTTTTTTTTTTTTTTTTTTTTTTTTTTTTTTATGTATATATACATATAAAATGCCCGGAACCCTGCCTGGGGGTCATCCCCGGCCGGGCACCCGGGTGTGTATCGGGGCATAAGTTGGGTGCCCGGGCGCCGGAAAAACAGCCTTT